TAACATAAAATGCATCATCAGCAGTGGTAGACATATATAGGTATCTCACTGGAGTTCGATTCAGGCAAGGTAAGTGCTTACTTAAAGTCAGATATTAGAGTTTGTTCAGTTCCCCAAAACAAGACAGTTGGTTCTGTGTAAAAGTGCAAACTAGGTATCTAGTTTTTGTGGGGAAAATTTAAATTGGAGGTCATCTGATTTATCCAATGATCTTCCTATTACTCAGTCCGATTGGCATCTCAAAAGATCAGTAGATTTTCAATGAGACGTTCAAAACTACTATTGAGTTATACTACATTTTTTAGCATTAAGATAACCTCCTGGATCAATTGAAACCCTTTAATTAAAGACCCTTCTTTCCTCAGTGACCAACAAATCCCTCTGAAAAATCCTTAAATAAGATATGACCAGTATCTCTTTCCCATTTTGTTCACCCAGCAAACAGTGTTTATAAAGGAATTATATTTCTGATCCTGAAAATTCTGACAACTAAATGAGATGTCATGGAGAGATCATCAATTGTTTAAAGCCATGCAAGTTGGTTGCTGCTACTACATGTTGGGTACAACTACTGGCAGGAAAGCATTTAGGACACCTTAACAAGCCTGTTGCTTCCATTCCTGGATTCTCCAGGTGTGTCAATGCCCACATCTTGGAACATGTCACAAATAAGTATCTCGTGCAAACCAGATTCTTCTTTCTTTTGAATATACATGAAGCTGAAGAGGATGGGGAGATGAGACAATGGCAGATTCATTCTTTCTATATAATCTTCTTTCAAATTCTCTACAAGACAAAAAAGAACCTTCTTCCCTGCAGGCATCAAGAAGGGAACAAATACGGATGGATGGGTAGCAAAAATAGCCATTGGTGACAAAATAAAGATACAAAAGGCATTTTCAAATTGTAACTTGACAATCCTGCCCCTTGTCCTTACTGAATCTTTCCTGTAAAATGGATGGAGTGGCCAGAGCTACTAGTCGAAATACCCCAAAATAATATTGGGACATGCCAACTCTTGCCTATCCTACCTACCAAATCAATAACCCCAAAGCAAATACAATTTTGGACACACCCACTCAGAAGCAAGTTCTATTTAGTTCATGATATTAATGCTAAATAAATGGGTGTAAAATCCTACCCTTATTTTAATAAACTCATAAATGTACAATATTTCCAATGAAAATGTGAACATTTCCCAGATGGAAGGATCTTAGAAAGGACACAATCCGATTGCATCTTTCTCTATTCTTCATTCTGGTAGGAATCATTCTTCACCTTTCTTTCTCCCTGGAAAATTCTTGTGTCATCCTCAGCCTGGTGATACAGTTGTTAGAATGCAGTATTGCAGGCTAAACTCTGCCCACAGCCTTGAGGTTGACTCAGCCTTCCACCCTTCTTAGGTTGGTAAAATGAGGACTCAAGATTGTTGGGGGCAATATGCTGACATTATAAACCACTTAAGAGAGTGCTGTAAAGTGCTATTGCTATCCTGTTTTCTCAGACATTTAATAACCAAGCGAGGTAGAGCTTACAGAACTGCAAGCTCATATACATGATCAAAACCCACTCTCTTATAGGTAAGGTGGACTGTAGCAAAAATACCACTGAAAACTCTATAGTGGAGCAAAATTCAAAATCCACTGTCCTTGGTACTTCATTTGAAGGAGCGTCTTGTAAGAGTTTCCAAGAGGAACAAAAAACCCTGCCTTACTTGCAAGAGGTTCTTTCTATCTACTGAATGAGGTACTTTTCTCAAATGGAAGTGCCAATTCCCTACCTGATTACTTCTTGCAGGTAACTAAAACTGAAGTAGCACTCTAGTCTGACGAAAACAAACCTCTCCCATTTTTGAACATTCATTTCTTGCGGTGTCTCCACCCCCCCCTTGCAATAACCTACTTCTAGTATAGCTACAATCATGGCAGACATTCATATGATCGTTTTTCAAGGATATGACTCAAATTCCAAAAGTCATAGTTATATTATTGTATCCACCATTACAGCTTTCTTCAACGTATTTTGCTGGTAATAAGGGGAACTGTAATTAACACTTCTGGAGGACATCAGATTGGAAAAGACAATAGCAGCTCTTAAAAAGCGACAATGGAATATGTCTTGTTACCCTCCCATTCATGGCTGTGATCCTCTCAAATGCAACTGGCTGGTATGAGAGATTGCATAGAAGCAAGGGACAAGGATCTGGTTCATCTGAGAAGAGGCACCATGTTCAGATGCGAGGGAAAATAAATTTAAAGAGACTCAACCCTAACAGCTTTCAGGATTTTGTATCCACACCCGAACAACATGAAAGATATATTCCTGAAATCCATGTTGCTCTTGCTTACTTAGTTTTGCCAACTATGTTGCGTGTGACAGAATGCGGGACTCCATAGCCTTCTCCAGTAGGATTCTTCTAGATGGGTACTAGGTTACCCATTTTGAATGGGAAGATGAAGTGGAACATTTATTGAGACACTGGTAAAGGGGAATTTTGTGAGAAGAGAATCTGGGGGCTGAATAGATCTATAGCCTCCATCCTGCCTTTTCCAACTTTCCAACAAAAAGGAAAAATGAATGCCCAACTGCAAGGTAATTCAGCTGGTCATAAATAAAAGAGGAGAGCAATACAATGAGCCCAAAGAAATCCTGAATGCATGGCTTCAAGGACCTTAATTATGACAACAACTAAGCTACTATAGCTAGTGCAAACATCTCAGAATGAGTAGAAATATGTACACACCATATTAGGGGATCTCAGAAAAGTGCTTTGATGGTTACCACAAAATAGTAGCCCTTGTAATGTATTCCAACATTCTCTGCTCCTTCAGAATAGAAGGAAAGGGAACAGGGATAAAATGGGAGAGGCTTCAGTTCAGCCACAGAGGTCCAGGTAGAGACAGCAATCTAGCCTTATAAGTTAAAAACAGTTAATGTGCAAAATATACAGAGTTTCCATAGTACAAGTAAAGTGGATCTGGGCTAAAATGCAAATACCAGGGGCTCCAGCACCCCTATAAGTTCTAGGAGGAGGAATGGAAGAGGGAAGAGTCAAAAGGAATTCATCATTGCAAATAGAAATGCTAAATGAAGAGTGGAATCTATTGGCCAAAGTCCTCAACATTCAGATACTCCTGTTTCTGAATGTCTGTAGGAGAAATCGGTGGACTCCAGGGAATAATCACAGATATTCTAATGCCATCAATGACTTGTCTCTCAATATACTGTTATTTCCTCCAGTATTGGAAACTGCTAACAGGAGTTAATAGGGCTATTTATCAAAAGTCAACCCATTTTACCAGCAGTTGCTTGAAATCTGGTAACACGTCCAGAGCAATCATTGTCAACTTAGCTCCTTTTCCACTAGGTTATGACATGGCTGTTAACGTGTCATGGTTCTTATGTTCAGTTGTTGGGGACAAGATGCATATGCAGGAGCAGCAGGTGGCTCAGAAACATGTCTGTTTGAAGAGACCATCTCTGCAAATTCCAGAATGTGGGCAAGAAAAAAATAGTCTGCCTCCAAGAGGTCACTTTTTCCCCCCCGACCAAGGCCTTCACAGGATAAGCTTGGTTGTTAGTGAGCAAGTTGGCTCTTGTTCATGGAGAACTTTGTACTTTTGCCAAGGTGGCCTGGACCCAATCATTCCAAACACCCTCTTAGCTCTCCATTTCACAGCAATTACAGTAGGATATCTCCACCTTTGCTGCCCCTTCCAACACCTTTCTCGTGAGCTAGGTCACCTGCTCTTTGGCGACACAGGGTCCTCCTTCATCTAGATGTTACCCCCAGAGCCTGCTTCATGTTCTCATACACGACATAGCTGATGCTTACAGCAGGAATAACCTTCATGAAATTGGGGGCGATGCCACGGTAGAGGCCCAGAACCCCTTCTCGGGAAAGGATGTTTCTAAAGAGACCCAACATGGTTAGCTGTGGTGCACCTTCAATTGACGCTGCAGTGAGACAATGAAAAAGAGAGGAAAGATTAGTAGGATGCCTGTCACAACATACCTGATAAAGCAGGTGAAGTTCAGAGAGTCTTGTCTGAATAGGATCGCCAGGTCCTACCTGGCTCAGACTCAAACCCATGGGGCAGAGCCTGAGAGTCTGTGCAGAGAGAGAGTGAGGAGGACTGACAGATCAAGGCTTGAATTATTGCATGCCAGAATTCGAACAGGACCTAAAGAGAATCTCATGGAATTGGGATAGAACCTAGTAACTATGTCCAGATTCTCGGAGTCAATCCTCATTGTCTAATAAATGATAAAACCTGAAGCAACAGAATATACAACCTGCCTTCTATTTGTTCTGGCCCCTTGTGTTGAAAACTGATTCCTCCTTTTTCCTGGAGGAACAGACAACCATGAACATATAAATCAGATCTGAAGACCTGTTAATTTTAATATGACTGAGTCCCAGGATGAAAATTTTATTTACCTTTCTTATCCCATTTTCCTTCTCGGTTTCTTTCCCACTAATCTCTCCTATGTCCACTCCTCTGATACTAAGATTTCATGCTTAATTGTCTTCCCTGTTTATGGTTATTCTGCCTATAATGGCTGTCAACCTTCTCCATTGAGCATGCTCCTTTCTTACCTTGTGCCTGCATCCGGGTTCGCACCAGGGCTAGGGGATAGCTGGCAATTTGGCCACAGGTGCTGGACACGGTGCCACAGGCCAAAAGAACCAAAACTCCTGGGTCAGCGGTGTTCTTGCTGTACTTCTGTAACCAGGTGTTCTTCAGTGTCTTTGGTGAGAAATGTGAGAAAGAGGGTAAGGCCATCTGGGCATCAAAAGCCAAGCACAAATAAATTGCAAAAAAGGGAGGAAAGCCACTGGATAGGAACCCCTTTTTACCTACGAATAAGTGCTCTTCTACAGATGAGTAACTAATCCTCAAAAAGTGTTCCAAATAAAGGAGCATGTCAGCCTAGCCTGTTCTTTGGATAGCTCCCTTATTCTTTGAACCCATGCCCAACCACTGACCTCATAAACTGCCAGGTCGATACCAGCATAGGGGATAATGCCCAACATATTTGGTAGGTAGCCCTTGTAAAAAGCAGGGATTCCTTCCTTCTGTAGGATCTTCCTGGCACAGTCTGCCACACCTGAGTACTGGCCTGTCTTGCCGAGGGCCAATCGTGTCTTCATGACCTAGTAGGAAAAAAAAAATCAATGAACCACATGTTAAACAAGAAAACAGTCTTGGTACTTGCATCTGTTTCTTCCAATTTTACATCTTCTGCACCTAATTTCAAGAGTCTTCTGCAAGTGATTAGCTAAAAAAAGTAGCAAGCATTTTCTTTTTCCTGTGGCTTGTAGGATGTCAATTAAAAAAATAGACTGGCACAGACCCTCTTGGTTACGATCCATCTCATGCTATTCTTGGTGAATGGAGCTCTCTATCTGTGCACACACACACACACAAAGGAATGGCTGTTGGTATAAGTAATCTTTTTTGATGTAACCTGAATATATTAAATCTTATATTGAATCTGTATAACTTGCACATGATATACAACTGGAGGACTGGAGCCAGATGGCTATCTCTTGGAGAGATAGCAAGAGGAGAAGGGACCATAAAAATTCCAGCTCTGGAAGATAATCCCTGGGAAACTCTTCTAAGAGATGTTCCCAGAAAAGGGGAGGGGGGAATTAACATGTTGGTTCTTTTTTTGACAAAATCCACATCTAAATAAGGGGAGGGGTTCTAACTCCCTTTATCTATTACTGTATGCATGGAAGCATCTTAGATTCTGCTTTGACTAGTATTGGAATCATTTCCTTTCAATAAAGAATTCCTTTTGAAGTGTCTAGCTTTCAGAAATTCATTCTTTTTTCGGTTGAAGGGGAAAAAGTCCATTGCTTACATAAAGCAGAATCTAAGATGCTTCCATTGCTTACACCTAGATCATGTACTTAAGAATTCCTAATTAGAAAAAAAAAACATTAAGCAATCTATTCTATCTGAAATTGGTGACACAAGTTCTTTAGTAGGCTAACATCTGAAATGGATAATTGGATGACTAGAGGGCTTAGGAATTAGGGATGCCCTTTCAGATCAATAGGATTGCCCGTGATAGGTATTCTGAATTATGTGAAATGTGGAATAACCTAGCTCTGTTGGATGTCATAATCTCCATAAAAGATTCATTTTTCAATCAGGAATACTTTAGGATACTGGATGCCTTTTGCATGTTCAGGCTATGGTGGTGACTAAGAGTATATCTCATCAACTTTAGGTACTAAGTTAGCTACTTCCAGGGAAAAAAAAGAATTGGAACACAGGTCCTAAACTCCTATATCAACTACTGCATTGGCTGCCTCTGATAGTTATTTAGAAAACAATAATTCACCTAACCTTATGGCAGCCAGATTAACTGCAAAACACATATAAACATTTTATGAGTTTTGTTGATTAAAGATTACGTTCAAGATGCCATTTTGATGATAGCATCTGGGTGTTGGAATCAGATGTCCAACACAGTGCAACATCCTTGGCTTTTTTAATATGCAATTTATGTTTTGTGCTTCTTTTACTTAAATGCCAGATATGATTTTATGTTAGCTTCTTTTACTGTTTTTATTTTATTGGTGTTTCTATTTATATGTGTTATTGATACTGTAACTGTATTATGTTTTGAAAATCATGTTGACTAAAAGCAGATTAAAAATAATCTAAGTATGTACAAAAGGGGCAAAATTTGGTTTTGATCTGCTAATACTACTTCCTAGATAGCATTTAGCTAATATCCAGGATAAATTGGAAATGAAGACTCATGACATATATCTCTGATATTGGTATTAAGATTACTCTGTATCCCTCTCCAGAAGCAGATACCTTCTGAACTATTATCAATTCTGCCCGAATTTTCCCATGAATGTAAGAATGTGCTGGGAAGAATAGCTTTGACATATCCATTCTTGCAGTGCTCAACTTTCTCCTTACCAACATTAGCTTTATGTAAACTACTAATCCAATTCAAAAATCTTATCTCAAATTGGCATACTGGGCATATATGCGCTATTCATTTTATATTAAATAGGTATACTAAGAAAGATGCTAGAAAGGAGTAGCACACATATACCCCACATATTATCATGGTCATACCTGGAATGAACTGGATTTTTGAGCCTCTACCAGCAGTTTTAAGAAGAAATCCATAGTTAGGCTAATGCCCTCTTATCCCTACAATGTTTGAGTAACTCTCAGCATGAGATTAAAATTGTTATTTATTCTGGGCTGGAACTTGACTGATTTATGTCATTACCTAAAGAAGCACATACACTATTAATACTATATAATAAAGTAAGCAGAATGAATACTCATTCATCCTAATAAATCATGGAACAGTCGTTTGGTAAAGTATGGTTGGGCACCATCCAAAACAACATTAGTACCATAGCAAAACTACAGATCTCATATCCTTTATTCAAATGAATCTATTTAGTGACATCTGCTGAATAGTGTTCACATTTGCCTGAAGCTCCTAATTTATCTATTTTACCAATTTTTTCCTTATTGTTATCATCACAATGGACCATATTTCCAATGATTTTACTCATTTTTAAAATCTAAGCAATGTTCTGTGCTGATATTTGTGTACCTCTTCTGATTGAATGGTCAGTTCATAATAAATGATAAGGATTCTGGAGATGCTTTTTGTAAACTGAAACTTGGAAAGTCCTCTATTATCGCTGGAAAAAAACAACACTTCCTCATAAGCTGCTAGAAAAAGACTAAGAAAATTATTTAAGAAAGACATCCTAGAAGACATCTAAGAAAATTATTGGGGAATAAATTGATATTAAATTGAAAGTAATTGCAGAAATTCAATATAACATTTTAATTTCAGTAAAATATGTTAAAGAAATTTATAACTCTTAGGGTTAGTTCAGTGGAGTCCCCCCATTTTTCCAGGTACAGCTGATCAGAAGAAAGATTAGCTTTTGTGAGACCCTTCCAAATCCAATGCATGTAGTGGAAGAAATTTGTGTAGCAAGCAATGTCAAATGCAGATACAAGGGGAAACTGCTCTGTTTGGACCTCTTTAGCTGAAGCCTAAATCTGATCCTATGGTGATGGTTGGCTTGAACACATTCCTGGAATTTTTTGAGTAGTATACATTTTGATTAAAAGGTCATTGGTTGGTAGAAGGCATGGCCTTCAGACACTATAGTACCAAAGAGGGGCAATTTTACCTCCATGGGGTAGATTATGGTCTGTGCTGTGGCCCCAGCCAGTGAGCCAGCAACAAATCTCTCCTGTACCCTCAAAGTTTCCTGTTGCCCACGAATTGCTCGCTTTATCTGCAAAGAAAAGCAATGGATTTATTCAGAGAAAGAATGGAGACTCCTCCACTTTCATCTCAATTAACTGAGTAAGGGCAGCACCCATAAGAAATTACTACATTTCATATCAGGGGAATATTATGTTGCTGCACTGGGATATCAGTTTCTGTAGGGATTTCAATAATAAGCAATGAAATCTTCACTATAACTTGGCTAGATCAGATGCTTCATTTAGGTTGGAGAAGAATGTTGGAACTTATAGATTTTTTTAAAAAAATATTTTTTATACTTTTCCACATTTAAAAACTCATATACAATCTTTGCAACACTGTGACATCGACATTTCCACTTAGGTCAATATACATAAATACATTTAATTTTTATTTCTACTATCTAACCAGTTATAGCACTTATTCCAGACCGTATAATATTCCATATCTTCTTAATCTTGCAGTTCTAAAGTGAGTTTAACCATCTCTGCACAATCCAACACTTTCTTTATTATCATACTTTTGGAGGGGGCACTATCTAATTTCCAACTCTGCGCGTAAGCAATTCTTGCTGCAGTCAGTATATGCACTATGATGTATTTAGTTCCTTTGTTAAATTCTCCTCTAATTATTCCTAATAAAAACATTTCAGGTTTAAACTGAATTTGGAGACCAATAATTTCCTGCAACCAATTTCTTATTTTGGTCCGATATTTTCTTGCTTCGGGGCATGATCACCACCCTGTTTTTGCTTACATTTCCAGCATTCTGGACTCATGTTTGGATATGTTTTTGCCAATCTTGCCAGTGCTAGATGCCAACAATAAAATATTTTATAAAGGTTTTCCTTATAGGCAGCAGACATTGTTAATTTATAATTTTTAGTCCACATTTTTTCCCATTCCTCTAGTTGAATACTATAACCAAAATTTCCATTCTTTCAAAATTTGACCCAAAATACATCTTTTATTTGTTGGATAAAAAAAAAATCCCAATTCAAATTGTCAAAAGCTTTTTGCACATCTAAAAAAATCAGTGCCGCTTGTTTCTCCAGGTGGGCTTCATAATATTCTAACACATTTGTTACTATCCTAGTATTATTTCTGATTTGCCTTTTGGGTAGAAATCCATTTTGGTCTGAATGTATTCTTTCATTTAACTTTTTTTTTAAATTCTGTCTGCTACTATCGTCATAAATATTTTATAATATATTAACAACGAAATGGGTCTGTAATTTTTAATTTATTGGTAATCGGTACCTTCTTTGGGTATTAGGGTAATATAGGCCTAAGCCCACGATTCCGGCAATTTTGCTTCTAGTAATGCCTCATTATATACCAACATTTAAGGTTCCATTATTTCATACATATTCTTATAAAATCCCCCTGGGATTCTGGAACTTATAGAATTTTTATTATTGGTTAGTTCGCTTCTCAATTTTTTTCCCCAGGAGCTCAAGACAGCATCCACCAGACTTCCTTCTCCTATTTTATTCTTAGAAGTGATTAACTTAACAATTCGTCCCAAAGCATCAAGTGAGCTTCCATAGCAGAAAGCAGAGTTGAATCCGAGGACTCCCATTCCTAGTCAATCGTCTAGCTACTATTCTTTTTGCAACAGATTATCATGGCATTTGGCTTTGAATCAACCTCTAGTCCTGCTATAACAGTAATCTTGTAATCTTGGGGTCCTTCTGGATTCATGGTTCTTTTAAGAAGAGCAGATAGAAGCCTGGTTAAGAAAGCCTTTGCTCACATTTGGCTGATGCTTTTCAAAAATAGGGGAAATTAGCAACTATTATCCTTTGCCTTGGACAAGTACAAATTGTATTATGAAGCTGCAACATATGGCTGGTATGAAATATGCCATCCCAACTGAGAAGGAATGTCATCCAGCATTATGTAACCCCTTTCCTTTGAGAGCTGCAGCAGTTGCCGTTTGCTTGTGGGTATTAGTATGCAGAGCTGCAGACATAAGTCCATACCTGCTCATAAGCCATAAACTTGATGGCAGATTCGGGTGCAATCTTGAGAACGTTGACACCATTGCCCCGCCACAATGAGCACATGCCTCCCTCGTGAATCAAGCCTTTCAGTCCACCAAGCACATTCATGCTGTTGTTCTTTGATGCATGGACCTGCAGGTAAGATGCAGACATGATGTTAGTCCCTGTGAAAACATTTACAGACCCCTCACATCCCGGACATAAACTGTTCAACTCCTTCCCTCAAAACGACGCTATAGAGCCCTGCACACCAGAACAACTAGACACAAGGATAGGTTTTTTCCTGAACACCATCTCTCTGCTAAACAAATATTTCCCTCAACACTGTCCAACTATTTACAAAGTCTGCACTACTATTATTATTAATCTTCTCCTCACTCCTTATTGCCCATCCCCTCCCACTTGTGATTGTAGGACTGTAACTTTGTCGCTTGTATCCTTACGATCTATATTGACTGTTTCCTAGTATGATTTGATTACTTATTGTACCCTATGACTATTATTAAGTGTTGTACCTTATGATTCTTGACTTTTGATGAATGTGTCTTTTCTTTTATGTACGCTGAGAGCATTTGCACCAAGACAAATTCCTTGTGTATCCAATCACACTTGGCCAATAAAGTATTCTTCTTCTTCATCTTCTTCTATGACAGGGGTGTCAAACTCGATTTCATTGAGGGTCGTGCATCACGGTTGTGTTTGGCCGGGGGGGGGCATGGCCAGCTCGACATTACTTGTGTTGTGGGTGCCTGTGGCGGCCCAAGCGCTCTGCCAGAAAAACCTGGCTCCTGAGCTCCATTTTCCGCTACGACAACCTCCTGCAACCTCTGCCAGCAAAAATGGAGCGCTCAAGTGGCCCTCCTGAGCTTTATTTTCACTGGCAGAGACACTGTGGGCTGGTCCTTCCCTGTTTCCAGATTGGCCCCATGGACTGGATCCAGCCTGCGTGCCTTGAGTTTGACACCTCTGCTCTATGAGGAGTTCTTGTTGATGGCATAAGCAAGGATAACCATGTACTATATGGGGAGGAAGCAGTGAAAACACTGGACTGTTGGAGGACTATTAAGGACCTTTTAAGACCTCTATAAATGGAGATAATGTGAAAGACATACATGAGGCGACAATAATTCTTATTCACCAAATGTGTTAATTGCACTACTATTAAAGCTGAAAAAGAGGGAATGGCTATGCATTCATCTTCGAAATATTTAGAAAGTTGAAGAAGCCTCTGAACTATAGAATACAATTACAGAACATAAAGAGCACATTGGCTTTGCTTGCTGCAGTAATGCTTGCAGATAAGCCTCTTTGCATTCAAGGGTGACAGGGTGGAATGACACTTTGGGGGTACTACGTTCAGAAAATCTCTTTTAAGCATTTGTCTGAAATGGTATAGGGCAGGGTCTCCAGCTTGAGCAGGCGGTTAGACTAGAACACCTTCAAGAGCCCTTTCAACTCTGTTATTCTGTTAACAATCAAAGCTCTTACTGAGTCATACTTTTGCTCCTACCTATCATTCAGCATGCAGTTCAAATGGAGACGACTACTTTTCTTTTCTATTAAGATCTTGCTTTGATTTGGCAGGTAGGTAGGCAGGCTGCTAAGAGCCCAGTTGTGCCAAAGAAGAGGGAAGATGGGAAAAGTCACCCAGCAAACCAATGTGTATTTTGGACAACTACTCATTACATCTCCAAAGATAATTTTCCAAAAAGCCTCCCCCCCATTTCCTTTGCATTTTTCTCCCCAATAATTGCTGCAGGCACTGTTGCAAGGCATAACCCCACTCTCCTTTCTCAATCACAAATGCTTGTTAGCTCTTTGCCTGCATGAAAACTTTCAATCGATCCAACGGTGCAGTTCCAGTCCTAGAGACTGCACCAGCCATAGCTCCAGCTATGAGTTGTTTCCACCACATCCCAGTTTTCTTCTCTTTCTCAGAAAATTCATCAGGAACAGTGAGGCACTCCCCAATGTCAAGGACCTATCAAAACAAGGGGAAAAAATAAGGGGTCAAGCACTTTATTTTGAAATACTATTGGGAGAAATAGGCTACAGTCAAAAGTAATGGGCAAACATTCTAAAGGAACTCATCTTCAGGTTTCACTATACTGAATTCAAACACTATTGATATTTTGGGTTGCTATATTGATCATCAAAATCTAAACAGATAAGAATGGGCAAGTCAAATATTAAAAACTGGAATTGAAGTTGAACGCAGTGTCAGAATATGCTGGGGATCACTATTCTGCATAAGTGCTCAAAAAGCAAGTTCTATTCCCACCTTTCTGGTGAAGAAAGCTCACAGAACACTTTATTTCCTTAAACTTTTTAACCAAATTAAGTCACTAGAAATGTGTTCATCTTCTCATATTCTGGCCTCTCCTTTTTTACACTAACATGTAAAGACTTTCTATCACACACTGCTGTTGAGCCTTCCTACACTCCTGTTTCCAAAAATTTCTAATTATAGAATTAACCCATCCCAAGCCAAATCAGGGGTTGTAAATCACAAATGAAGCTGTGCCTGATTAGCTGATGACCTGTTGAGAATCCTGCTCAAAGGCACATGGAGGTTAATACTGAAAGCCCCGTGCTCAAGAATTCACATAACTGAATAAAAAAAAATGAAAATCAGGCCGGCACACATTTTGCAAAAAGCTATAAAAATGGCATGGATTATCATATTAAAATAGTTACAAGCATCAATGTATCTCCTTATCCAAACTAGACAAAAAAAACAGTCAAAACATCTTGGTCTCTGCCCATTGGTCCTCTCTGTTTTGGCATTAATCCTTGGAGGTTTCCTTAGTCATACCTTTTCCTTTTCTCAACATCACAGGTTTAGAGTCTTTTACCTGCTCTTCTTAAGGATGAAAAATGAAATAATCCAAAGGAAAAACTAGAGATTGAATCATCATGAGATTATCAAGTGAATTTTGTGTAAATATAATACAGCCTGTACTGTGAACTCTGCAAATTCAAAACATTTCCTTCCTATCCAAAATGTTCCTTAAAAAACACAAAATGTAGCCTTTATGGCAAAGCAACAAATTACTTTTCATTTTAAAGATCCTGGAAATGCACAGGTCTAAAGGGAGCAGAATGATACAGTGCAGCTGGGATAGTAAATTGATTCAATACCAGCAACATAAAGACCAGAAACACCAGATTAAAATATCTTCTCAATCAGGCAGCTCACAGATGACCCGGAGCAAGAATGGTTTCCCAGGGTTATCTTGAGGATAAAATGTTATTATGCTAAGCTCCTTGGAGGAAAGGTGGAATAAAAATACCATATAACAAACCAATGAATTTATCCCAATCAGCAAAAATTACATAATTGTGTAAAGAATTACACAAAGATACCAGTTGCTTCAGTGTTTATCAGAAAATAAAGAGGATATAGGTAGAGATCATCAGCTCCTTTGGTATGTGTCTGTAGGGTCTGATTAAGGGCCCTGTTAAAGGGCAAATCAAACTCAAGTGCTGCTTTTTTATACCAACACCAGAAGCAGAAATTCATTCTGCAGGAACCCAGTTTTTATAAACAGGCCTGCCAAAGTCCCTATATTCCTGTTTTTATGATGAGTTACAAGACATAAACAGAATCAAAGGGGCTCAGTGAGGCAAAGGGAGGGCAACAGAACTAGAAGCCTAAGGAATCTGTCCTGTAGAGCAAAAGAAGGAAAATACTACAAAAGGAAGCACTGCCTGACCTACCAGATCAGAGTCTCCCACAATGGACTCCAAGCCTTTGCAGTGTTGATGGTCAGCCTCCCATAGTTCTACCAGGGTCAGCAGCTTTGCGTCATCATGGATCCCTGAGGCACTGGGGCCCTTCCTGATAGAAAAGAGCTTTTCCATGATGGGTAAGGATAGGCAATATGAGAAGAAGGCAAGGAAGAGACGCAGCCAAGCCCTCCAGCAACCTTCTAATGGGATTGAAGAGCTAAAAGTGGATGGGGAGGGACTTGAAAGAGTCAATCCTATCAGCTTTTGTGGATTACATGATGGGAAATGGACCTGCTCCAATCCAAACAGAAAACCAGAAGCTGAGAAAGAAACATCTTTGGGAAAGGATGGATTATTGAAATATTTTGATGCGGAAGAAGGCAAATTCAAGTGAAGCTTGGCTCCCACCAAATAGAATGCAGGGTATAATTTATTTGACATTTTCTTAACTTTGAAATAAAAGGAAATTGCACTCTTTTAATTTTAACGCAAAACGTTACTCATTGAAATGGGGCTTTGCAGGAGACCTTCCCATGGACTGCATACAGATTCCATATATCTCCCCAAACCTGTCAGCAGATATGGGGATACCATTGATAACACGAACTGCCTTTTGGTCTCCATTCTATTCCAATCAATGAATTCGTCATTATTTTCTGTGAATAAGGACTGGAATTCCAACCATCTTCTATCCTTATCAATCTCAAAGCACAACACAAAACAGAAGAATACTTTCGCTGAGATCAGATACCTCAGTTTTTCCAAGACAATCTTGGTTTAGGGTAAACTCTCTACCTCCCTAAACTAGGAAAACATTAGTTTCTAGGAATACATCCAGCAATAGCAGGATAAGTAGCAGGAGATTTTAGCTACAAGACCATCAGATGATTAATACCAGACACAATGCAGGAAATAGTTTCCATTTCATCACTTACTGAACTTATAGCTATCATTTTGGGGGGCAGCAAATATCTGAATTTAATTCATTCAATTTGATATGGTTGTCTACTCCAGAATACTATATCCTGGATGGTCAGGAGATGGCAGCAAAAGTTGGTATTTTTTATAAGTCTTTGCTGCCATTTAGTGGCTGCTGTAGCTTAGATATTTGCAGCCCTAATTGTGCCTGCTAGAGTATTTGATGTTTTAGATGAATATGGCAGTAACATACATATAAACATTCAGATTAATAGTTTTTACTCTTGGAAACCTAGTCATCGTACGTTTAATTTCAAATAAATGATGGTTGGTAGGTTACATTTTTACAGATTTGATTAGGTTGCCTGGATTTCTACCTTGACATATCCTAGGAAACTTCTACTTTCTCTGTACTTAGCACATCTGCTACAGATGACTTCATGTTTAAATATAAACTTTAATCTTCCCTATTTCAATCAACTGATGAGATTAACACAGCAGAAGATAGAGAACCTTGGCTAAAAGCCAGCTCAGAGATAACAAATTTTCAGATCCTCTTTTTCCTAGAGGATCCTACGATTTCCTTCCCTCACAGAGACACACGTGTTTGGAAACCCAGATCAAAGGCAAACGTAATCTTTGAAATGGATACACTGAGGTTTTGGCATATTGTAAAAAGAGTTTTCAGGCTTTTACAGATGGCACCTACCCCCAGTGAGACTAGCAAAAATGTTTCCAAATAGATCACTGGAATGTTGGAAATGTAAACAGAATCAAGGAACATATCATATGTAGTGGATGTGCCCAGTAGCAAAAAAAATATTGGATAAGGATAAGAAAGTGGATTGAGGAAATAACTAAACAAGAGAGTTAAAACCAGAGATATTTTTACTAGGCATAATAACAGGAAAATATGACCAAAAATACAATATCTAATGCTACATTTAATAATGGTGGCAAAATTGAAAAATGGTATTATAATGTGTGATAAAGAAAGTATTAAAAGTGTGCCAAGATGGATAGGCTGACAATGGAAATAAAAGATAGAGGAGAAACCGAATATTATTTGATTGGAATGCATGGTATAATTAGTTAAATAATAGATATAAAGATAAATAAATAATATGAAAGATTACAGTATGATAATAAAATACATATGGCATATATATGTATAAAACAATACATATAAGGGAATATATATATATTGTGCTGTCCCAGCCAGTCTATGGGAATTGGATAGTTACTTAGAAATTATGAGCTGTCCCCTGAAGGGAAGGCATCATGGTAAATGTAGTTAAAGATATCCAGGAAATGTAGTCCATGTCACGTGGCCACATCTGTAATCCCGATTGGTCATTAATTTGACCCTAGGGTTGGGGGAGTTTTTCCTCACTTTGAACTCACTAACTCATGGCAGCTGCTTTCTATCGCTACAAGATGGGTTAGGAGATAACCATCTTTTACTACAAGGCAGATATACAAAGGATTGGTCATTAAAGAAGAACTTCATCACAAATGTGAGTTCTGATACCTGATGAACCAATAAATGTACTTTGTTATGGACGTCTTGTTGAGTTATCTATCTGCATCTGTACAGCTTATAAATCCACCTCTGTGCAGAAGACAGAAAAGTAAATGTGTGTGTGTGTGTATGTATATATAATTAAAAAGTATGTAAAATGTATGTATATCGATACCAAAATGAAAATAATGTTATGAGGAAAATTGTTTAATAAAAATAATTTAAAAAACAAAACAAAAAAGAAATAGCGCTCATTCCAAGGAGACAGCCTACTAATCAAAACCAAAGACTAGCCACTCCCATACCAGGAGAATTCTACTGTGAAGGATCTATCCAAATATAATCAAGAAACCTTTTGCCCATGGCAAAGAATGGCCTCTGCTATACGAGTGAGATCATCAGATAGCTTTACTATTAAAGGATCTTTGTTCAATTTTCCAAAAGAAAAGAAAGAATACGTTCCAAGAATGTGGTCAGGAAAAATCGCAGAATTCCAGATGGGACAAAACTGATTGGCAGGGGATGGAAGAAAAAAGAGTTGGTTTAAATCAAAGGCAATATCCCACCCTTCCAAATGCAGGTAGTTCTTGACTTACAAACACAACTGAGCCCAACATTTCTGTTGCTAAATGAGACATTTGTTAAATCAGTTTTGTCCCATTTCTGTGCCTTTCTTGCCACAGTTGCTAAGTGAATCACTACAGTTGATAAGTTAGTCACCTGGTTGTTAAATTAATCTGATTTTCCCCATTAACTTTGTTAGTAGCTCGCAGAAGGTGATCACGTGGGACATAGCAACAGTCATAAATATGAACCAATTGCCAAGAATCTGAATTTTGATCATGTGATTATGGGGATGCTGCAAAGGTTGAAACTGAAAAATGGCCATAAGTCACATTTTTCAGTGCTGTTGTAACTTTGAACGGTCACTAAATGAAGTGTTGTAAGTCGAGGACTACCTGTGTGGCTTCTGTCTCTGTTGCTGCTTTGTACCTGCCACTCTCACTGCAGCCTACTTTCCTCCCTCATCACACTTCTATGCAAAGGCATGCCCTCTGTTTCTTCTCTATTTCAATTTCCCTCTAGTCACAGCATTCTCCTTCCTTGGAAGTTATTCTACTAATAATCATGACTGAGATGGGAATCTATAGAAACTGAATAAATAAATAAATAAATAAATCCCATGCTGATGATCTCTAAAGTCCCTTCCACCTTATAATTTTGTTTACATTCTATGTTTTTTTATACAAAGGCCAATTGAGTTAACTTGTTCCCTTTTCCTGGCATTGTATGTCCACCTTTAATAAATTATATTATTTCAGAAAGTTAGGGGTTTTTTCCCCTTTCCCTTTTTTCTAACTTCCATAAATGCATTCCTTGCTTATGTCGTAAAGATAACTTTAAAAAACCTTTTTTCAAACTTGGCAACTTTAAGACATGTACATTACAACTCCCAGAAATCTAGGAGTTGAAGTCCAGATAACATTGCCAAGCTGGGAAAGACACTGCTTTAACACGCTTTCCCTTCAGGAAGGCAGGAAAGAAGTCAGAATATAAGATAAATTTCCAGGTTACTTGTTTCTTGACTGATTTGCCAGAATTGCAGACTTTCTAATCGGGGGTGGGGGTGACCATTTTCTTGTAGGAAAAAAATATATAAAAGTCACAGTTGGAAGAAATGTAATTGCTTTTAAATGAGAGAATTCAGGCACTCATGTTTGTGAATAAATAAAAAACCCCAAATTAGAATGCGTGTTTTAGCCAGGAGACTTGTAGTTTAAAGTCAGCTTTGAAATGGAGATTGTAAAGTAAATGTTATTTTAGTGCAGGCAATAATAATGCTTATGAGCATCCATTAGCATCCTACACCCTGCCTCAAATAAAAATGGACATTAATAATGCATTTTAAAATTCAGTGAGAATGCCTACAAGCCTACCACTGAACTACAGCAGTCAATCTACAATTTCTTTCTCTTAACAGTGATGACCTATCTGGCTATAAGGACATAAAACAAAGGCAAACCTCTTCTTCATTAGTGTCTTTCACCTGTTACAAATATCAGAAATAATGATTGATATGAAGGCACACAGCAAGGTACATAGAATGGAAAGGTTACTTTGCAATTCCAGAATTCTGTGTTCAGAGGATTGATCAGGAGCAGGGTGGGAGGAAAAAGAGGCTGAGGTGGGTGGATTAAATATGTATAAGTCAGAATACCTCCCATCATGTCTTGTCCAGCAGTGTGGATAGGATATGGCAGGATTCTTTGCAATGAAACACTGAAGAGGATCAAACTGTGGGGATGCTACCCTGCAGTTCCACCCATAACAAAAAACAGAGAAGCAGGAACATAATGCAAAAGAAAACTCGTGTTTGGATAATTCTCACTCAAATAATGTATGCTCTAAAAAATAACCTGTTTCCCAAAAGTCAACAAGCATTTCATTTATTAAATGTACATGCCACTCATCTCCCCAATAAGGCAACCTCCCTGAGCCCTTCCTCCAGTTTTCCCTTAATAAGTGGCCTCATTTGAGGATTTCTACTTGATAAAGAGAATGCAAATTCTATTCATAGGACTCTCCCAAACTTAAGAATCTTGATAATGTCCTCCATGCAGCCTATGGTAAGGAGTGATGGTAGTTGTAGCCCGATAACATATGAAAGATCTCCCCCACAGAATGAGTGGGTGGAGAACAACCTCATAGTCCCATTCAAGTCCTTGGTGCTCTTTATGGCCATTTTCTCTCCAGTTGAAATTTAAGCCATGGTCTTCTAGGACAGAGGTCTCCAACCTTGGCCACTTTTAAGACTTGTGGACTTCAACTCCCAGAGTTCCTCAGCCAGTTTTGCTGAAGAACTCTGGGAGTTGAAGTCCACAAGTCTTAAACTGACCAAGGTTGGAGACCCCTGTTCTAGGACACCCAAGAAGTTGCCTTGAATCCCCTAATTTGAGACAGAGTTATTTCAGACCAAATATGTGGCAATAATTACAGCTGGCTGGCAATAGACATTTCAAACTGGAGAAACATATAGCCCACTAATGCAGTTATTTAATGTAAAAAAGATATAAACGTTCTTTTCTCCAAAGCTACATCCATGCTATATTCAGTATCTTTCCAGACCTAGTCATCAGAGCAAAGAGATGTGACTTGCTTATGGGTTGTACACCTACTGGGTCTGATTTCTTCTATTTCTGTAACTCCAAGCATGCCAATTTTTCAATACAATGGAGAGGGATGGCATAGACAATAATTCCAGGCCTAGCTAGATGGGAAATATGGCTTACCATTGAGTGCTTCCAATAGTGCACTATCTCTTCCATGTTCTCTAATGGATTGAGGATGAAGTGGTCTCGCCACTCATTCCAGTCAATGGTCATAGTGCCATCTTTGTCGATGCTGCAAAACACAAGCCCAAACAATGCCGAGGACAAGGAACTATATTGGGTTTATTCTACCCCTCTTTAGGAAAACTGAAGCTTCGCTGTGGAAACAAGGGGGCAACCTAAAACAGAGAGGGGGCTTTGTTCAAATGGTGGAACAGAATGCAGAATAGAAATCCCAGTGTCTTTGCTGGAACTAGTAGTGGTAGCAGGACCAGTTCCAGCTCTGAGAGTGAAAACTCTATATAAAATGCTCAGAGAATCAGTCTTCAGAAATCTATTAATTGGTGACATTAACATGGGGGCTTTAAAGGCCATTTTAACTTTCCACTCTTCTATGTGAACACATAGGGAAATAAACATGACAGATTCAGGGAAGGCACTGAAAGCTGATAGGATGAACCAGAAGCCTCAGATCATTCCTGAGCACTGACCTCTCCTCCAACCTTTTAATGCAACTAACTAGATTCCATTCCAACCCAGCAAAATAAAACAGCTCTGGGCCACATTTCAGACATTGTAGTATAAGGAGATAGGAGGAGCGCAAAAAGCAAGAACAGTTTGAGTCTCACCTGTGTAAGATTTTCTCCGCTTGCTGGATAGAGATGTAAACTCCCAAGCAGTGGAAAGTTTGCTGGATCTCAGAGACATCGATCTCGCCTGCAACATAAAGACAAAGACAAAGAGCATGGCTATCCATTTTGGGGATTAGGGCTCAGTCCAGGAAGCTGATGGGTTAGGAGAAGCCTAGAAGTGTTCTAATAGGATGAATTGAGATGTGCTCAACATTTTCATGGGCCTAAGGGAGAGAGAGAGAGAGAAACAGAGTCAAAAGACTAGTGGGTTTTGAGGAATCTTAAACAGGTGGCAATTAATGCCAGGTGACATCTTGGAAGTTTTTTCAGGGCTGTTATATTGCAAGTGCAGGGAAAGAGACTATAAAATGAGCCATCCCCGTCTTCCGGATTGCCAATATTTAGCCCTCTGTGAATTTTCCCAGCTTGAAGAGGAACTGAGGGGGAATTAGAGCAAATGCTTAAAGAGCTAGGGGACAAACAGCCTCACAGGGCTTTGCAAAAGTCCAAAATGGAGATTGCTAGTTGAATGTTTGGAAGGATTATATTAGAAGAGAAAGGAATGAGAAGGAGAACACAAAGCAGTCAGTATAAGTGAGTGCTGGGTGAAAAAGAAAGAATAGCTGGAAAATGGGCTCCCGCAACACTGTCAAAGATTGATCAGCTTAGTTTCTACAAGTCCATGCTTGTAAATAATGTTGTGGTTAACATTTATCTCAATGTTATGCCTCAATGGCATCAATATAGTCCCAGCTCCAGGAAATGCTTTGCTAAAACTAGGAACACAAGCAAAGCGGTGTTAGGTCTGGGTAGGGTATTGGCCACAAACCATTGAACTATCAACCAGCTTTTTCCCTCACAGAAGGTGGAACAAGAGAGTGGAAAAAAGAGTGGTGCTAATTGGTTATACTTTTTTTTCTATAGTTTTGTTTAAATTACCACTGAAAGCACTTTGTAAATCAAAATATTGATGAATTAATGCCTGCATGTATTCTCAGACAGAGCAAGGTTTTCTTCACTAGAGGCAAAAATAGACAGCTGGTATTCTGACCCAGCCTTCACAGAAGCAAGAAGCAGACTCCTTGCAAAGAAAAGCCCCTCTTCATTTACTTTTTGTGAATTAATTACATTCACCAATCGAGTCCAGGCAAGAGTGCTGCAAGGAGTTAACTGCAGCTATTATCAGTTCATAACGATAATTGCAAGGCCATAAGCTCCCAGTCAAGGCTGCAAATTAAGTTCTGGCAAGGCAGTCTTTGTTGCACAAAACACAATGAGCAAAATTTCTACAAATGCATACTGTTGTCTCCTATGACATCCTACAGCCACAAGTTCATGCTTGTAAAAAATGTTGTGGTTAACATTTGTCTCAATGTTATGCCCCAAAGGCATCAATCTGGTCCCTTTCCTTCTATTTATTCCCCAGTCAGGGAAGAGCCATTCAGCGTTCATGTTTGATTTGCTTTCCAAGTCGACTCTTTGACCTCCGTTGTTCACCTTTCCTGTTGTTCACCTTTCCTATCTGCTCTGTGCATACGTGCATCTGAAAAAGGCCCCAGCTGTTCTTCCTCCTCACTCATCTCTGACTCCAAAGGCAGCTGTCTCTCCAGTGGCTGGGAAATGCTGGACGGCTCTATCTATGTGTCCAACGCTGAGCATCCATCAGAGCCTCCCCCAGGCTCCAGAACTGGCCCAAATTCTTCCCCAACCTCCTCATCATCTGAGTCTTCCGCCAGCTCCACTGGATGGTAATTTTGTTTTAAACAAATCTCATTTTGAACCAGATATTTGAGATTGATTAAGATGCCTAAGCAACATTCATTTGGAGAACTACAATACAAGCCAAAAATGTAATGACTTATAATAGTAATCCCTATGGCTTTCCCTTACAAATTTATGCAGTACAGTACTAAGAGTTTACAGGTCAGTGCTACAGGATAGGATTGGTAAACAAACCACCTTGTCAGGTTCACACATCATATAATGTGGTTTGTTGATTATAGCTTAGTATTCTGTGTGAATCTATCCAATCTGGTTTTTAACCATATTTTTCAATTTAGTCATAAACATAGCTGCTAGTGGACTTAAAATTTTCTCAATGTGCGATCACAGCGGTTCTCAGTCTTTTCTTCATCACGGATCTCCTTTAAATATCTGTTGTGGCCACGGGCCGTGGGCCATCAAGACTTATCTCAAGATTTAAATAATAACATTTCTTCAAGGCTTTGCAGACCCCCTGTGACAACACTGTGCCCACCCAGGTTGTCTGCAGACCACAGGTTGAGAGAACTACTGTGCTATCTCATACAGATGTTGGCCTGCAAGCTCCTTTAACCACCTAGTCAGCATGAGGAAGAAATGATGGAATTGGGAGCACAAACATTTGGAGGGCAGCAAGTTGGGTAATATTTACAGACAATCTGCAGGATTCCTACAGAACATCAATTTAGCCTTGACTGCTACAAGCAGCCTAGCTGATGCAACTCTTTACTTAGGAAGAGTGGAAAGCATTTGCGTAGGAATTGGGAGGGAGAGTACAATCCAGCAAACATCACAGAAGAGTTGGCAAAAAGCAAGGCTGTGCGGAAAAGTAATTAGTGAGAGAAATCAGCCATTTTAATCACCTCCATTTTTTCCATTTGAAATTTCTGAGTACTTTCATTCTCACAGGAAAACTAGCACGGTCCTGACTTACATAATATTTTTCTATTTGGAGAGCTGAAACATTTTCCATTTTTACTTGAACAAGTATAAAATCATACTGGCATGATGTCTGCTGACACTGTTACACTGTTACTACACTGATAAGAAAATGCTTATCATTTTCTTGCCTGTGTTCCATCCAACATGGATTTTAGATGGAGGCTGGACATAAATAATATTGGAACTAAGGATGACTTTCCCATATTTTTTGCACTATAAGACGCTCCAGACCATAAGACGCACCTAGCTTTTGGGATAGAAAACAAGAAAACAAAAAAATCTGCCCTGCCTCCCAGCACCAGCACGTGGCTTGTCAGGGCTCCTTTCCGCTGCGCCCACCACCGGTCTACTGAAAGACAGCTGGATCCTGGCCTCCTGTAGCCCCGCTAATCAGCGGGCTGGCCGATTAGAAACGCTATTGCTGCCTCTGCTGGGGAGCCTTCACCAGTGTTCCCCTGCTATTGCTGCCGCCTATTGGCAGTTGGATCGGCTTCCCAGAATACCACTGATTAACAAATGGTGGCGGCGCAATAGGCAGCGGTGATTCCCACCGCCTGGAACAGCTGATCGGTGGTATTCCAGGGGGCTGATCCAACCAATAGGTGGCAGTGGTGAAGGTAATAAGTAGCGGTGGCAATAGGCAGCAGCAGCAATAGGCAATATTCACTCCGTAAGATGTACAAACATTTCTACCCATTTTTTTAAGGGGGGAAAGTGTATTTATTAGTGCAAAAATATGGTAAGTCTATCTCACTCATGGGCTGCTGAGGATTAAAGAAAGAAATGTCATTGGGCACAGCCTGCCCATTATTATTATTATTATTATTATTTTGGCCAGGGCATGTATTATTTTGGCCATGCCTGTAATTCATTCAGTCCAAGTGGGAAAAGGGTCAGAGACTGTGTACTTAGTATAACAGAGGAATAGCACAAACAGGTCAAACTCTCTTCTCCCAGGACTGCTTTTAAATAAATGACTTCAATCACACAGCCTGCTAAGGTTTGAAGCAGTCTGTTTAGCTCCGGATTGATATGCTCTGTAAGCCCATAAGTTATTATTTGTAACCACTGATTGTATGGTTTAGTGTAACGTGGGAACCCTGTCTGCCTTTGGCTTGCATTCATTGGGAAACGACAGAAAAACTACCCTTGGCCTTTACCCAGAGTAAAGAATTCTAGGGAATTAATTTCTGAAAGAAAGAACTGTGTTCTGACATATTTGCATAGCTCAAGAAAGGATGCTTTAATTGGGTATTAGAGAAAAACAACAACACATTTCCATCCGAACAAATATATAAAAAGCACAAATGGCAGAACTGGAAAAACTGCCTGGATTTGTAGGAGCAGATATGCAATTAGGTATACTGCATAGTTTCAATGCAGAATGTTTTATTACCCCAGAGATATCAGAATAAAAATAGGAATAGAACATTGGAAGCACAAGATGTGTTCACTGTGTTCAGAATAAGAAATTTCAACCAGGCTAAGGCGTCATTAGCTATTCTTCTGAGTCCAGTGAACAACTATAGGATTAATAGGAGGGTCTGTTCCATTTGTTTTGAAATCTGTAAATATATTGCCTCACCCTTAAGACCGCTTAAAATAAGAAAGCAAGGTTCACAATGTTTGTGCTGAGTTTACTATAGCTTAAAGCTGCAGTGTGGAAAAGTCCTTAGACAAATTAGCTGTTTGTTCTACTAGCCATTTCTCATAAGTGGGTAGTAATTATGCTAGATTCAGTCTGAAGATCTCTCTCTCTCTCTCTCTCTCTCTCTCTCTCTCTCTCTCAGCAGCTTCATGTAGATGTTAAAAAGGAGAGATCACTGCAGGACTTCACAGAATAGGGGGCAAAGTTGGGAATCTCTCCTCCCCAATTACTATTCATTGGTTTAGACCCTGGAGAAAGGAGGAGAACCAGCACAATGCAGTACTGCCAATCCCCAATCCCTAGAGCTGATCCAGAGGTATACCATGTTTGATGGTACTGAAGGCCTCTTACTCAAGAAGAGTAAGAATGGATGCAGTATCCTCATCCCACCTCACCAGAGATACTGTTATCTAAAACCAAATGCCATTTCCATCCTATATCACAGTCTAAATCCTGTTGGAAAAGGGTCCAGATAATCTGCTTCATCCAAGCTGCTGTGTGTGACCACCTTTCTCAACCACCTTGGGAGGTTAGATACTGAGAGAAAATTGTCTTCTATGGTCGGATTCAGTTTCTAAAGGACAAATCAACCCTTCCTTAAGGATTCTAGTTCTTTGTAGTGTACATTCTTATCAAGACTGCCTCAACACTGCACACACTCACACACACCCATGTTCCTAACAGCATAAATAGTATCTTACTGGATTTAACCCCTAGCCTACCCCAACTAGTCC